GAAATTTGAAAGGAAAAAAGTCTTGTTTCTATAAACAGATTCCCAGATCTCGCATCCACCTTAAACGACAAAGCACTGGAAAACCAAAGTCGTTGACATTTTCTTTGTTAAAGACACACTTTTTCCAACCTTTGTTTACAGTTTCATTTCAAACAAAGAGCCCACACCGTATCAAGGGAACCAGGCCACCTCCTTGGAGCCAACCCAGAGTTCCACGGCAGCACGTGCATGTTCGCGCGCACGCGCACTCATGTCCTGACAAACAAGCCAACACATACCTTGAGAACGTTACTCTGAGGAGCCAAGTAAATGCTAAAGAAATGACAGCTTAAAAAAATGTTTCCCCTTCAGTAGAGACAGGGGAGGGAGGTCACTACGGCCAGATCTGTTCAGGGATTGGAATGACTAGTGCTGGGAGAAAAGAAAGATAAACATTCGGTACAATTCTTCTGACAGCTACAGGCAGCAGACCAAAATGGAGAGCCCTTCCGTGTGGCAAACACGAGGCCCATATTATGCTGGGGGGGCGGGGCATGTATATATCACCCATCCACACACAGAATGAATTCTGAAGAATTTCTGCATTAACTTTTAAAGCAACAATGTGTCACCAGAGGCAGAGCAGCTGTTGGCCTCTCTGTTAAGGACAACTTTTGAATGAAACCTGTCTGAAGGACTAAATACACGCAAAATGAGGCCACAGAGTCATGTTCTACAATCCAAGTCCTATCCACGTAGCAACTCCGAGAGCAACCCTCCCCCAGCTCAACTTGAATCTCATCTTGTAGCATCAGGGCTAGATCTGTTCCAAACAACATCTTTGAGACCATCAGATCTTCCTGCATTAATCCCTAGAAGGGGCAGTAAAATGCAAATGCACAACAAACCTTAAATAAAGATGGTAAAAGCAGTTTATCTTTCAGAAGGCAGATGCCAAAGTAGCAGAGCGATTTAAAAAGATGATTATAAAAGACATTTTGTATCAGGAGAGCATAACAATAATAATAATAATAGCAAAGAATAATAAATGTGCAAAATACAATAGAGACTTACCAAACACTGAATTCATGATAAACTGGAAATAGAAACAAGGACACATAAAGCCAACCAGAAACCCGTGGAGTGGCTTCACATTCAGAACGACAGAAGTAAATAAGAGACATATCCCCATCTTGCCCATCTTGCCATAAAAAAGATTTAAGAAATGTACACCACTTTCTTAACATTTCCCAAGGATTACAACAGACTGCAAGGGCTTGCAGGCAGGACAGGCTGGTGTTCTTCTAGGCCTTCTACCTGTCCCAGCACCAAGCACAGAGCCAGGCCTGCCGCAGGCACACAGTAACCGTGCACCGTTGAATGTTCATTAGGATGCACATGAAAGCGGGGAAGGAACAATATCCCAAATCCTGGGCGGCAGGGGGGGTTCTGAGAGAGACAGCTTCCCCCGTGAGGTCTGCTAACGATGCAAAAACTGAGGAACTAGAGCCCTGAAATAGAAGCTGGTCCTTACAAAGGCCAGTGTGGTATCCGTTACAGCCTGGACACTGAACCTGTCACATAAAGAAAGTTGGTTGGGAAGCCCTTCTGAGGATGAAACCAAATGATTTTTTCTTTCCTTTAATTCAAGTAGAAATGGACAAAATCCTCCTTGCTCATTTTCAAGTTATGTATTTAATGTATTTGCTGTTAACTGTTAAAATGTCCACTTTGTTCAGTTTTTCTTTTAAACTCAAGGTTTGAATGTTTTTTTCAAAAAAAATTCCTCCATATATCAATATTTCAATTTAGGAATGTGCATCAGTCTTCTATATGGGTTTATTGAGAGAAGAAACAAAAGAATAAATCATTCTCAGAAGGAAACAGACAACCTTTTTCTATCTGGTTCATGAGAATGTCATTTGGCTCCAAGAAAAATTTTCAGATTTTCTGGCTACAATTTGTCAACATTCTGGAGTGTGGGGTAACTGCAGGATATACAACATCCATGCTGCAAGCGTAAGTGAAAAAATGACTTCTTACTCCTTGGGAAAAGCTTGTTTTAAATGGCAATCTCCTTCACTGGGACTCGGGTAAAGCCCGGAGACATGGCCAGGGGTGCGAGCGGACACAGATGTCCTTAGAACCCTAATGCCTGGAACGTATAGCTGGCGGCAGCCAGGCCATCTGGAGGAGCTGTTCTCGCTCTCTCTCTCTGCCTGTCTTTCTCAATTTCAGTCACATCTTTTTCTCAAATGAAAAGCACGTGGAATCATTCCAGTACCTCCCCAAATCAACTCTGTAGAAATTTGCAAAGGTTAAAGTTGAAAACTGAAACTAGTCAGCCCCCAAACGGTTTCCATGGTCCTGGCCTTTTCTCAGGGCTATTAGTAGCTTCCTTCACAAACCTAGGGTGGTTCCTGACCTTATTTAGGGGCCTGGGGAGGGCGAGCTCACCCCACACTGTGACGTAGTACCACCCACTTGCCATTGCTGCAAAGTGAGGCATGTCCCCAAACCTCTGGCCACAACTGGGCAAACTTCTTCAGCTAAGTCTATCTCAAGTTCAGGACCCAGTGAAGTAGTTCAGTATCAGACCCATAACAGATTTTGATCTTTCTTTATTAAAAGAAAAAGAACCTGTGTTAATTCTATTAAATTCTCACAGGGTCCAAGGCTGACTCACAAGGTGGACTCATATACCCCATGAGGGATCCCGTGTTAATGAAACAAAGCAGCCTGTTACTAAACTCTAAAAAGAAACTTCCATTCATAACAACAGCAACAGACAAAAACATCAAGAAATTTCTAGGGACAAAGCTTGGTGGAAACAAAGAAAAGGAGAAGACCTGGGTCATTTACAATAACTCATAAAATTTGAAAAATTAGTTGGATGGAAGTGTTTACAAGTAACCAGAATCATCCCACAGATTTAGCCTCTGATCCTTGTTTTAAGGGGAAAAAAAGTGGTTTTTCATTGATTTGGGGTGGGAAAAAAATGTAGCTTTTGAGCCCAGCACAATGAACTATTTATCTGGCCTGACAAGGCCAATCAATCCACCCCGCTGTTTATTATAAGGAGTAGTAGGATACTGTTAGTATTGACGGGTGGGGGCAGGGCCAAACACGGCACTGGCCCTGGGTACACAATGCTTCCCTTCAACTGGAAATTGATGTTTGGCCCAGGTGACCTGGGGGTCAGTGTGAAGCCTGGGACAGAATGAAGATGGTATTTTATGTGTTTCGTATTTAGAGAACGACTCCAATATGCTAAGGTCTCAGATCCACTGGTCATAGTCAGGCTGTGGGTCTAAGGTGGACACTTAAGAAAGGAACGTCCCTCAGTATGTGCCCCCCCCCCCCACCGTTAGTACCTTTTTCTGGACCATGACAAATTCCAGGGAGGACCTCAGAGGCCAGATTTTTAGTTGTAAAGAGGCAATTATCTGAAAAGTTGGATTCCTTCTTTGATTTAAAGTTCTCAGATAATTTTTACCCAACTCATCTGGATAATTACCTTAATTCCTTAACTTAATTAAGTCCTTATCTTATTAAGATAATTAATTACCTTAATTCTCTTATTTACTTTGTAAAAGCTGGGCTGGCAGGGGAAACCTTGCTACTGGTCCCCATGTGTGTGCCCTTCCTTGGCTCACTGACCCAAGAAGCATGAGGAGGAACAAGAGGGGCTCGGAGCAGCAAGCAAGGGTTGGGAATATAGACGGACCCACTGACTTCTAGCTCTCTGAAACCCAGAAGGGCAGGCCTCAGTTCTGGAGCTTATTTGCAAGAACGCAGGAGGCACTTCAGGGGACGACTATAGTTTTCCAGGAAAGTATGCTTCATTCTTAAAATGGGAAACCCCCTGCATTGGTAGGATGGGCTTTAAAAAAAAAAAAAAGAAAGGAAACAAGAAAAGAAAGAAAATCCTATAGCTGCTAACCAGCGTGGGCCTCCAGCCAATACTTAATCTGAATAATTCAAAAAAGGAAATGTAACCCAGGGCAGCTGGAGGGGGCAGAGGAAGAAGCAGGAAGGAAGAGAGACACAAAGCTAATGTCTCAAGCACTATGATCAATGGACAGTTTATTGGACAAATTCTTATGCTGTCTAAATTTTATGAAAGATTAGCTGTTCTTCCCTGTGGTTATGTAAACTTGCCTTCTTTTTTCCTCTTAATGGAACTCTTTGCTAATACATTTCCTGCTGCTGCTTTTGAACAGCTCTATATTTCTCTTTAAGGAAGTAATCAGCCGGTGAAAAGCCGGCCACTGAACGCTAACCTGCCCTGGGCACGCTCCGTGTGAGCCCGGCCCGATGCGCGGTGAGCGCAGGGGCAGGAAAAACCGAGGAAATCTAGTGCGACCACGGTAGAAGTGGGTCGAGTCCTCTCTGCGATCTTACATTCTCTCTCCTGTCATCTCAAACAACGGTGTCACAAAGGACGGATATGGGAGAAAACAAGACCCCAACAAGCTAATACCTGACAATCTGCCTTGAGGTCTCAAAATAGGCAAACAAGATGGTTAAAGTTCCCTTGGTTGGAGGCAGGTATGAGCTCTTTCTGTGCACACACTGCCTCCTAAACCAAGAGAGACAAGGTTTGTGTTTGGGAGCCCAGCAGGTAGAGAGAAAGACCCTGATAAAGCCTGCCCTTAAAAATAAAAAGAGAGCATGGCCAGACGCACATAGCTCAGCGTGCACCACAGCATTCTCTAAAGTCACCTTTCATCCATAAAAATAGATGTGAAAGTGAAAGCTAACGTCCTAGAAAAATCATCATTTGCAAATTTAGTCTACTTTCTCATTGTGAAAAAATTGTATTCGTTCCCTTTATTATAGTTATTACATTGTTGCTCGCTCTGTGTGTGTGTGCACGCATGTGTGTCCAAATTTATACAAAAAACCAAAAGGGCAAATGCCATGCAATTTTTCAGCAATTCAAAATTTGACACAGTTCACCGGGAAGTTTCCAGTTTGGGTTTGTGTGTGGGGAGAGGGCTTGTTCTTCTTTTCCATACCTCTCTTATTGGTTCTTAGAATTGTTTCAGAAGATAGCAAAGCATTTCCGCTGGACACTTCGTGCATGGGCTTTTCTGGAGCTTTGCTGGAGAGAGGGTCTTTCTTCATTTCTTTCTTTATTTCCTGTGAGGATAAAAGGAAAACAAGACTGTTGTTTGAAATTTTAAAATGGCTCTTTGGCTATTTTAAGCTTCAACTTTCTGGGAATGAACTCTAATGACCTCAACTCAGTATAACATGATGTGTGAAAAATACCATTTCTTTTGTTGTTGTGGCTTGTTTTCCTTACATTTATTACTGAAGCACCTGCTCCTGTAAAGTAAAATGACGTCCAACATGGTGACATGACCTTATGTGACTATGACCATTTCAAGTGACCAGGAAGAGAATGAGTGATAATGAAGGCCACTGCACAGCTCGAAGTGACAGCCTGTCTTACTTTTTGAACGATAACAAGCTTTGGCCAAGGAGAGTCACCCCCTAAAAGCCTTCTGGTTTCTATCCTTCCCAACAGGGGTTTAGAGAAATATATTCTCAAATCACCATTGTCCCCAAATTATGTTAAACCCCAAAGAAGGGGACTTAAGTTCATTTACACTCATCAAGTTCCTCTGGCTCTCTATTTAGCTCTTGACAAAAATGTAAGGATGACAAACAGAGATAAAGACCATCATTCTAGGCCAGGGGTCAGCAAACTACAACCCACCACATGTTTTTATAAATAAAGTTTCATTACAACATGACCACCTTCATTCACTGAAGAATTTTCTAAGGCTGTTATGATGGCAGAGCTGAGTATTTGGAACAGACATCAAAGCATAAAATACCTGACCCTTTACGGAAAAAGTTTGCTCTGGCTGGTCTCTTATCAAAGATCCATTAAGGGGGCACCTGGGGGGCTCGGTTGGTTAAATGTCTGCCTTCAGCTCAGGTCATGATCTCAGGATCCTGGGATTGAGTCCCGTCTCCAGGTCCCTGCTCAGTGGGGAGCCTGCTTCTCCCTCTCCCCTGCCCCTCCCCGCTGCTTGTGTGCTCGCTCTATCTCAAATAAAAAAATAAAATCTTTTTTAAAAAAAGAAGATCCATTAAGATACAGAATTTAGGGGCGCTTGGGTGGCTCATTCGGTTAAGTGTCTGCCTTCGGCTCAGGTCATGATCTCAGGGTCCTGGGATGGAGCCCCTGCATTGCATAGGGCTCCCCGCTCAGTGGGGAGCCTGCCTTTCCCTCTCCTTCTGCCCCTACCCTTGCTCGTGCACACTCTCTCTCTCAAATAAATACATAAAATGTTTTTAAAAAGATACAGAATTTAAAAACCTGATGGCTGAGACAATTACTTCAAATTACTCTAATAATTTACAAAATTATTTTCAAAAAGCATCAATAGCTCGAAATGATAGTAACTCACCAACTGCAGGTCTGGAGCAGAGGGTTACTGGGCTTGTCTGAACCCATGATTAATTACACCAACACGGGAAAAAGCGAAAGCTAAGGGGCTAGACCCAGAGCATGGCTGAGTGGCAGGAAGGGCAATGTGTTCTTTAGGAAGAACATGGGGCAAGAAATGGGGATGGGCTCCTTCTATGGAATAAACATGAAGACAGCCAATTAGGTAGGGGGCTGAGATTCAGCCTGGGCAGAGGGCAGAGGCAGAAAGAAAGGAACGAAAGCTTGTCAAAACATAGCCACTGGCGAGCAGCTTCCTACACACCCGGGTCTTAGTTACCGTATCCAGTTCTCCAGTTGCTGGCTCAGTTCACAACAGCCTCGCCCTCTCTCCCTCACCAGGGCCCCACCGGAAATCAGCAACTGTGGCTGGCACTTTGCTGGGCTGAGAGTTTCAGCTGGCGTCTCAGGGCAACCCAGCACAAAGCTGTGTACATGCGTGTGTATGTACAGGGACTCCCACCTCAGCAGCCACGGCACCTGCTAGAACAGCAGTTGCAGGGGGTTTCTGTAGCCTCACAGGCAGATGGCATCAGGGGACAATCTGCAAACATTGCCCGCCTGAGCCGCATGACGGGATGCTTTCTTAATGATGGCTGCCAGACTGCTATGGCTTGAGAAGTCAAGAAAACAAGCCACCATGGGGGCTCATTCCCCAGAGCTTGCTTCTTTGGGGGTAGAACAGTTGCTCAAACCTCTCTTTCCACTGCAGTGTGGATATGACTGTGCACACACAAATTTCCCAGCTGGACACAATATCCACGGTGATTCAACATCCAAGGTCGCCAAGGGCTAATTCAGAGAAATTCAGCGGGTTGCGGGCAACATGTCAAGCATTTGCTTAGCACTAACAGCTAAAGGCACGCAGTTGGGGGAATGGTGAGGGAGGAAAAAATGTTTGATAGACTGAAGTGATCACTGGAGAGAACTTTAGAAGTGTGATTGGTTTCTGTTTGTTCGTTTGTCTGTCTGTCTGTCTGTCTTTAAGTAATCTCTACATCCAGCGTGGGGCTCAAACTCAAGACCACGAGATCAAGAGTCACACCCTCCAGTGACTGAGCCAGCCAGGCACCCCTAGAAGCCGTGATTGTTAAGAACACTCAAACCCAAGGCTTCAGAGCAGCACCCTGTGAGGTTGAAAGGACTGACCTGATCAAGCAAGTGCTTAAGGGCTAAGACAGCAGCACCAGAGAGAGGTTGGTTCATAAATCCCAGATTCCATTGTCCCCTCAATGATTGCTTATATTTGCCACACAGAGAAGCCTAACAGTGACCACATTTCTTAAGCTCCTTCTTAGATGGAAGCAGGGAGGAGACAAAACTTAAAATATGCCCTGTATTTTTCCAGAGAAACCAGACACACGGGTACGGCAGTGCCCCGTGTAGACTCTCCACCTGCACAACACCTGGGTACACAGGCTCAATGCGGTCCCCCCAAACTCAACATCATCCCTCTGACCTGCCTCTTTTCTGGAAGAGAGGAGAGGTATCTTCCTGGAGAGCCCATCATCTACCCACTTACTCAGGCTGGAAAACTCAGTGTTAACCGCCATACCTAACCAGTCACCCAGCTGCGCTCTATCTACTTCCTCAACCTCTCGGTTTCTCTCCATTCTTCCTATGCTGCCTTGAAACCATGAATACCGGGCAAAGAACTCGAAGAGACGCTTCTCCAAAAAGATATACATATAGCCAATAAGTACATGACCAGATGCCCAACATCATTAGTCATTTTAGGGAAATGTAAATCAAAACCATAATGAGATACTCCTTCATACCCACTAAAATGCCTAGAATTTTTTTAAAAAAAGGAAAACAGTGCTGATGAGGATGTGGAGGAATTAGAACCATTGTGCACTGCTGGTGGGAATGGAAAGTGAGGTAGCCCCTGTGGAAAACAGTATGGTAGTTCCTCAAAGCTAAACATAGAACCACCGTGTGACCAACCAATTCCACTCATAGGTATAAACCCTAAAATACTGAAATCAGGGACTCAAAGAGATACTCGTATGCCAGCATTTACTGCAGTAGCCAAAAGGTGGAAACAACCTAAGTGTCCAACAACAGATGAATGGATAAACAAGATGCGGTCTATACATACAATAGAATATTATTCAGCCTCAAAAAGGAGCCAAGTTTTGAGACATGCTATAACAGGAATGAGCATAGAAACCATTATACTAAGTGAAATAAGCCAGACATAAAAGGACAAATATTGTATGATTCCACTTATATACTGCAGCTAGACTAGGCAACTTCATAGAGACAGAAAGACTGGAAGTTACCAGGGAGTGGGAAGGAGAATAGGAGTCAATGTTTAATGGTTACAAAGTTTCTGTTTGGGGTGACGAAAAAGTTTTGGACAGAGATAAAGACGATGGTTGCACAACCCTGTTTATGTAGCTAACGCCAGTGAACTGTACATTTTGAATGGTTACAATGGCAACTTTTCTGTTATACATATTTGACCACAAGAAAACATACACATGAACAGCAGCTAACAGGGGAGGGCTTGCCACGTGCCGAAGCTGCTCTCAGAGCTTCCCCTGGATGGCAGCTTGCAGCCTGCACACCAACCCCGTTCCCCACACACTAAGACACAGAGCACTGAGCAAGCCTGCCAAACAAGCAGGAGTCAGAATCGGAACCCCAGCAGTCTGGCTTCAGAGCGCCTCTGTCAACCACTCTTCCCAAGTCCTGCCTGAGTGGCAAGAATGTCTCCCTGCCTCCACACTCCGAAAACAAACGTATGCTCTTGTCACTCCCTACGGAAACCCCCCCGTTACTTCCAAAAGACCACAGGACAAACCCTTTCATTTAAAACTTTTTAAATTGCATAGCAAGCCATACATGCCCGTGTACTGGATGCTAGCTCAAACTATCTGCCATACACACTGGCCCCATGGGGCCCATTACCGTGCACGTGTAACATGGGGAGTGCACGTCTCTAATAACACCTTGACTGTCACAGATATCTGATGTCATGGACTCCTATTGGTAGGCTCTAAAAATAGGTGACGATGCTGGCAATGACACAACCTTACACGGGCAAAGGCTTAGAGAAATTAAAGTGTTTTAGCAGCTATTTCTTCACTTGCTCCTCACAGTAACACTGTCATTGTGTTATTGAAAGAAAAAATGATAGAACCCTGATTCTGCCAGACTGATAGATTTTTGCATTCAAGAACCCTGAGACCCAGTCAGAGAGGATGCAAGAGCAGCCAAAGGCCACAAAGCTAGTCAGGGGCATAGTGAGCCGTGGGACTCACCTCTGGGCCTTCCAGGCAGGGCTGTCCTGGTACACTTCACCTCTATAGCCAGCCATGGCTATAGAGGGGAGACTCAAAATCACCCCACCTGGGGCTCCAGTGGGACCCTTCACTTCCCTCCCCAGCTGAAGAATATAAGGTACTGCTTTATCCATAAATCTACCAGTACTGAGGCCCCAATCCTTGAAGTCCTTTCTCACGCACACATAAAAGCTCTTTGCTGCAGAGGAGGGTGGGCTTGGCACGGGAGTAACTCCTGCCTGCCTACAGCTGCCCGCATCTGGTTACCTGGAGCTCTCCGAGGTTCTGATCCAGGTCATGGGACTCTGGATTTCCTGGGTCTGAGTGTTCCTAGCCCCCAACGCCCAATCTCCATTTTCTAACACTATATTTTTAACCACTGTTAAGAA